CATTCCCACTTTGTTGCAGTTGGCAACGTCATTTCTGATTAAAAGATCTGGCAAACCTGAAAGGTTAACTAAAACTTCGTAGATTTTTGAGTTTGTCCTTTTTTGAGTTTACCATTATGATTTTATTGCTTCTTGTGGACTAATAACAATTTCCTTGGCTGTTGTGCTTCCTGGTGAAATTTATATTTTGGAATATAAGCTACTATATCAGCTGTCAATTCTTTTTTTTAAGGCTATTGATGATATACTCCCTTTTCATTATTATATAGATACACTGTTCTATCCGAAATTACTTTAAAAATGTGATCCCCGGGTATATCCATGTTCAAAGTCAGTCAATAGACGTGAGCACCAGGGAATAAATAATTTAATAATAATAATTTAAAAATAAAAGTTCTTAAGAATATTAAAAACCTTTAAAATACATAGAAATCAATAAAAGTGCCTAGCTTTCGTCGGCATCCGCTGACATCTTCAGGGCTTAGAATGCTGGTCAAACAAGGCTAATAGACAAGAGAGGAAATTGGAAGACGTGATTACACAAAAAAGAAGGGGAGTAGAGGCTTTACCCGCGCTAAACCTCCAAGAAAGGATATCCCCTGCTATTACTTACACTGATACGGATCATGTGGGAAGGACAACTCCCAATAAGAACTCGGTGCCTGGAGTACATTCTAGTATAACCGGCCCAGTGNACGAAAGCTAGGCACTTTTATTGATTTCTATGTATTTTAAAGGTTTTTAATATTCTTAAGAACTTTTATCTTTAAATTATTATTATTAAATTATTTATTCCCTGGTGCTCACGTCTATTGACTGACTTTGAACATACACTGTTCTATATGCTAGGCGCTTCCTATATTTATTATTTCGGTCACCGAGTTTACCACTGAATCTTGTGACTTGGTGACTTCTCAGATGCTGGGTGCCATTTCTCATAAGCCTCAAATCTCACAGGTTTCCCAAATTTTATGAGACTGTGGCGCCTTCCATTTTTTAAAACTGATTTTGTGAAACTGCAATAAATGATTTGGAGAGAAACTTCCTTTCACAAGATCTTCGTTGCTGTGAATCAGAAAGAATGGTGAAGTTAACAGAATAAAAGAGCTGGAAGGGACCTTGGAGGTCTTCTAGTCCAGTGATGGCGAACCTTTTAGAGACTGAGTGCCCAAACTGCAACCCAAAACCCACTTATGCATCGTCGAGTGCCGGGCGGGTGTGGCCCATTGGGCGGGCGTGGCCAAGTGGGCGTGGCCAATTGGGTGGGCGTGGCTGCAGTGGTAACGACAGACTGGGTGGGACTAAAAAGTTCAATCAATCAATTCCAACTTTGCAAGATCTTTTTTTTTCCCCGCGAGAAGTTGAAATTGACTGAACCTTTTTTTTTTTGCACATGGCGGCGGAGGCCTAAAGCAAAAAGGTTTTATAAAACCCAGCTGAAGGCCTAGGACTGGCCGTGACGGCACGCGTGCCCACAGAGAGGGCTCTGAGTGCTGCCTCTGGCACCCGTGCCATAGGTTCGCCAACACTGTTCTAGTCCAATCCTCTGCTCAAGCAGGAGACCCTATACCAGGGGTGTCAAACTCAATTTCATTGAGGGCCGCATCAGCATTGCGGTTGCCCTTGGGGGGCAGGGTGGGTGTGGCCAGGGTGGGTGTGGCCTACTGGGTGGGTGTGGATGGAGTGGGTGTGGCCTACTGGGTGGGCATGGCCAGCTCTACATCGTTCGCATCAAGGGTGCCTGTGGGGGCCTGAGCAGGAGTGGGATAGATCTGAGGGTCTCTGGCAGGAGAGGATGGGACCAGGGCAAGTGCCAAGGCATGGTCCACTGGAGGAGCCTCACTATTCCTCTCAGGCCATGCAGGGGGGGCGGTTTATGGAGCTAAGACTGAATGCGTTTCAGCATAGAGGGCCACCACAAAGTTGTACATTGGCTCCTGGCTGGCCTGGGCCAGGGCCAAGGCAGAGGGGGCCGTTCCCTCACTGTTTCCAGGATGGCTTCGTGGGCCACATGAAACCACCTCGCGGGCTGTATCCAGCCCCCGGGCCTTGTGTTTGACATGTCTGCCCTATACCATTCCAGACAGTCGGCTGTTCAGTCTCTTAAAAGCCTCCAGTAATGGAACATTCACAGCTTCTAAAGGAAAGCTGTTCCACTGGTTAATTGTTCTCACTGTCAGGAAATTTGGAGAATAGATTGCCCCCCTCTTCTTTGTGGCAGGCTCTTAGATATTGGAACACTGCTATCATGTCACTCCTAGTCCTTTTCACTAGGCCAAGGGTAGGACTTCAACTCCCAGAATTCCTGAGCAAGTCCACGAGTCATAAAAGAGCCAAGGTTGCCTACCCCTGCACTAGGCATACCCAATTCCTGCAACTGTTCTGTTTTTATACCATTAGTGGGTATTTTGTTGCTGTGAAGAGCAAACAAAAAGTAGCTGCAATTGGCTACAAATAGCAGATAAGCTTCCGAGCTCATAACATTTCTTTTGTAAGGCAGGGTTGATTACCCAGTAAAAACTTCCTCTGGAAGCCCCCTCAGATTTAGGGAGCTGGCAGAAAGTGGCTGTTTTTTCCCCCTCGCACGGTGCCTACACACAAGTATAATAAGGTTTCTAATTCTATACTAGTGTCTGTAATTAAAGCAAAACAGTCAGGGGCTACTTCAAGACTGGGTCACCTTCAGGTCTCCCAATAAATCCACACTTGTTTGTGTTGTTTAAAGTCCTGCTTTATTAAAATAACTGTTGTTGTTGTCCATGGTAACGGCAGTTCCACCCCCCCCTTCTATCTCCAGTCATTTACATTCACTTGAAAACAGAGACCCTAGACAGAGACTCAAGCTGACTTTTTGGAGCATGCAGGAAGCCAGAGCTATGTGTTACCTGCATGGACAGTTAACACAAAAGTTCATGGTTCAGGCAAACCGAAACTGTAAGCAAACCTGAATACTGCAACCACCTTGAATTGTGCTAGTTGGTCAGATTTGCATAAGAGTCATTTTGCATAATAGTTGGCCGGTTTGACTGCTTTGCATAATTTATTCTCAATTTATTCTAATTTATTTTCATCGGAAGGGAAAAACCTGTAAGGCGTTGCAGGGCACTGAAACCCCACATTTCCCAATCTCACTTAACAGCAATTTCAAATTATTTCAGCAAGCCTTGCCCCTAGGCACATATCTTCATAGCCCCAAAGGCCAGAAAAATCCTGAAAAAGGAAGTAAAACATTGAGAAAATGTTAATTTTGCAGACAAAATGTTCTTCTGGATTCCTGTGGACTACTAGGCAGGGCGCCTAAACAGAGCTAAAATAAAAAATGCAGATCCCTAGAACACCTTGGACATCTTTTAAGCATGCCCACAAGGACCATATCATGTACACATAGTGGTTAATGATTTTAGATAATTATTGAAAATTTTGAAATCACCAAGTTCTGCAGTTTTCTTCGTAATAAACTCTGTTAAGTAAGAAACACATCTGTAACACATTTTTTCCCACCTACAATGCTCAAGAGGTTTTATCTTTTTATTATGAACTCATAGGATCCTGAAATTGAGCTCAAAAATACTGAAAAGGTCCTGACTGAAATTTGGGGAATAAAACGTGGGCACAGATTAACCCTTGCAGGCAGGTACTACGCAAACAATGCCTAGTACACACATCCGCAGGTCTTTTTGCTTTCATGCAAGCATTAAGGCACACATACAAACTCACCATTTGTACAAGTACAGATACAAAATGCAGAGCTGCTCTATTTTCTCCCACAGCCAAGGACTGGGTTGTGTAACACCGATATTTCTGCTTCTAATACTTATGTCTTCCCACTGTGATTCTGTTCCAAAGCTTCTCTCCCACCATTTTTATTTCCCTCTGCCTAAATCCTGAACGAACTGCAGGGGATTGAATGAGGTGCTTTAGGGATGATGAGAACACCTACAGTACAGCTTTGGGAATAATGGGAAAGTTACAGTTACCATACAAACATTTGTACCTGCTCCAATTCTGGACCTGGAATACAGCTCTGGAGATTTTAAAGAGTCGCACAACTGGAACTTTTGCAGTCTGTTCTGGTGATATAAATGCCTAGCATTAAAAAAATGTAAAAGCTGCAGATTCTCAAACCCATTTCTGCAGTTCCTATACCACAGGATCTAGGTTCTTTAAAATATCTCCAGAAGTTACGTTTGTATAAGCTGCTACACTGATTCTTCAATTCTATGATTCATCCTGGTCTTAACAAGAGAGATCTGGGAAGTTCTGTGGTCTCATTTCTAAAATCAGGACTCTGCATTAAATTTTCTATAAGATATTTTTAGTCATTCCAGGATAACCATGTTAGTATTATGTTCCTGCATCTCACTTCTCAGACAGCAAGAAATGATTCTGGAGCAGCCTTCATTAGTTAAGAGCACACCAGAGGTCATCATCTGGCCATGTTCACTGGAGGTATTGGGAGTGGGAACTTAACACATCAGCTGGTGAATGCGCTATTATCTCGCCAAAAGTCCTGCCTGCAGAAGATTCTTATGGGAGACTGCGGGTCTCTGCCTAATTTCTGCATAATGGCTGGAGGAGAAACACAAGGAGACCACAAAACCTTCAATATGTGATCAGCATCATTAATAACTGGCAGGTTCCAGCCCTGACATTTTCCATTTGAAATATTTAAATTTTAAAAGAGGGTGATCTGGATGAAGTTCAAGATGCTATAATGCCTAGACCCAACATTCCAGAAATAGCACCCCCTCCCCCCGAAAAGTGTTGGTTTCTTGGTCTGTACAGGGCTCTTGTGAGAAAGGGAGGAGGAGAAAGAGTCTTTGGTTATTGGTGTGGCCCTGTCAGTCTCGCTGTGAGATCAGTAAGGACACCATTGCTGTTGATATTTCAGAAAACCCAAAAGGCAATGAGAACCTTTGCTGGAAGTAGCAGTTGTTCCTGAAAGAGGCACCTCCCTCTCTAGTGTGAGGTATTCCATTGGTCCCAGCAGCCTCTGCCACCAGGGCAGGCAGATAGAACCATGAACAGGAGGTGTTGGTGGCCATGACACAAACGTAGCACCCTTCTGGTTCCTACGTAGGATCCAGCTCAAAGACACTGTCATGGGTTGGTGAGGTGAAGAAGCAGGTCTGGTCTGAGGCTGGCCGCCGACTGCCCTGGTTAAGCCCCAGGGACTTCTCAAAATCCAGCAGCTGCCCCATGAAATTGAAGTTAGGTGAGATGTTGGACTTCTTTCGCTTCACCAGGTCATAGGCGTCGTTGAGAGACAGGTTGAGCTTCTGCATGAGGTAGGCTACAGTGACGGTGACTGAGCGACTGATCCCTGCCAAGCAGTGCACCAGAATGCCGCAATTCCTAGAGAGGGCCTCATCTGACAAAGAGATAAAGGGATAGAGTGTCAAGGGGATGCAATCATACACAAGGGGCTGCCATATCTAAGGCAAGTGAAATTTGTTAACACTGAGCTGGAAAAATGAAATGGCACATCTTTATTTCTGTGACATGTTTCTGAGCCAAGAGAAACAGCTTTCTGTATGACTTTGCATTTTCCCACCTTTGTGCCTGGGGTATAAGAAATCACCAAGGCAGACGAAGTAAAAATTTTCACAGTTGAAGCAAAAAGGGGACCTCAAGTTCATAATCAACCTAGCCACATCCATATTGCAAAAACCGGTTTGAAATGAGAGTGGTAGAACACCTTGCTGTGATACTGTCCAGTAGTCACAAATGGATTTGGTAGGTGCATATTACATTTTGTTAACCATCCAGAAATACCTTTCTAGCTGAGCAAAAGCCTTTAACAATAATTCATTGTGCTTATTCATATTAATTGCTAAACATTAATACTGAGATGTCATATTCTACATAGCATGCAGGCCATACCAACACATTATCAAGATGACACAAGATCCAAATGTATGAGAAAGATGAAACAGCTGATAGCAAGGGGAAAAAAAACCCCTTTGATTCTTTTAACATTGATGCTAAAGAAGATTGCAAGCCAGTGGCAGAAAGAAAGAAATGGGTGGGAAGAAATGCGTGTTTCTTATGACTGGTGGCTAGATGAACCAATCAGAGTGAAGAATGCCATTAGAGGTGGTCCTTGGCTTATGACCAACCCAAAATAGGGGACTTACGATCTGGATCCCAAGTTCAGGCAGTAGAGCCCCCTTCCATGGTCACGTGACCGAACTTCAGATGCTTCTCAACACGGTTGCATTTATGCCCCTTTGCAGCATGCTGTGATCATGTGACCACGATTAATTATGGTTTTACCGAAAACCAGCATTTGCTTTTGCTTAATGACTGCTGCAAAAAAAGATCTTAAATTCGGGTTGGTCACATTTTAAAACTGTTACAAAATACAACCATAATGGGCAAGGTTCCATTACGGTTATATGTTGAGAACTACCTGTATTAATGCTGCAACTTCAGTTGGCAGCGTGAGTAGCCTTCTGAGTGTGACAAGCCAGTAACATACTTTGGAAGCCAAAGTAACCTGATCTCCTTCGTTTTGGTCTTTGTACAAACTTTGGCAATTCATTATAAAGGTGCCTGTGTTGGAAAAAATCTCAGCTTCTTTACTAACTGAAATGATTTCACTACAGCAATCCCTACGTTATTTATTGGAGATCTCCATTATCGAGACCACAGAAAGCCTTAAACTGATTATCTTGCAGAAATCATTGAAATCTGAACAATGTTATTTATTTATAAAGGGTTTCCCCTTTAGGGCTGACCTCTGCAGAGACAAGCACAGCTAGGCTTCCATTTCCAGGAACACATTTAGTTCGAGGGTGACCAGAAGCCTTAGGAAATTAGATCACCACTTCCGTTTGGGCTTATAAGACCCCCCCCCCCCCCAAAACCCCTTTATGATATAATTGATTTTCAGCAGTTGACCTTTTTAGCTCTGGAGTAATATATGTGTGAACAGGACATAATGTGTTCATAATGTGTTTGACAGGAGGAATTGTTGGTTTCTAAGGGGGCCTAAATGCTTACAAACACTAAAAACTTGATAGGGGCACAAGAAGGGGGAAGTTAGAAATCAAAGAGCTTTTTTTTAAAAAAAAGTTGTTTCTTTAATATGCATAAACAACTACAAGGATATAATAGAGACTTTAGTATTAAGTGTTAGGCTTAAGATAGAAACCTTTATTATGTAATAAATAATTTAATGCATTTTGGAATGTTTATTAGTGCTACATCTTAAGCAACTTTACTCTTATCAACATTAATATTTTAGAAAACAGTTAATATTGGCATAGTTTTTAAATTGGTCTAAATAGTTGAATTATCCATTTAATAGTTGGATTGTTACTTTCTATTTTAATTGTATACACCATTCAGGATCACATGCAAGTGAGATGAATGAATGAATGAATAAATTTTAAAAATGTTCTTTTCCCCCCCTTCAACTTTAAAGGTTTACATTATCTAAGCATCAGAGTGTTAAGAATCTCCAGTCAACACTGTATAAATACCACTGTACCCAAATAAAATAATGTACTACTTGTGTTTTACTGTGGCGATGAATGCAACATTGGGGGGCCTAAAAGACCAGGTTAGGGATAGATCGTCATGGAGGAAATCTATGGGGCTGCTAGGATATAAGCACATAATCCATCATATCAAACATCGTCTTCATGATACTATTACCCTTCAGACTGCTGACACTCACCAATGAAATCAATAGCTTCAGGGAAGAACTGAGAAAGGTTCTGGCTCCAGTGATCCGAGATGGGAATTTGTTTGTATTGGAAGTCGCCATTCTTCTCAAAGAGGTTTGGGAGGTTCGGAGTCACGTTGAGGATGTAGTGGATTCCCAGTTTGGCCAGAGTGTCCATGTTGGCAGAGTCTCGGGCACATCCCAGATAGAGATTGGGTAGGATCTGCACAGGAAAGGAGGGGGGACTCGTGCCTTCAGACTCCATGCCGCTGCTGAGGGGCTCTGACTCAGCATCGGAGCCATCTGAGCTTAGGCTAAGACCTCCCAGCCCCACGATGGGAGCCGTAGGGGGAACAGGAGAGCTGCTGGCACTGGCTGTATCCAGGTTGGTTTCACAGAGATGGGGCCATTCAGCCTGGAATTTATTGAAGCCTCCTGGAGGAATGACAGACCCAAGAAAGAAAAGTATCAGTGTTATAGGCAGCATGTTATAAGGTGGCATCAGAAGCTCCCTAAATATGGCAAACCTTTTTTTTTTCTACCCATCTCACAAGTCACATGGAAGATCCATCCACACCCAAAGGCAGTAAAGCTGTACGTATCATTCAACTTCACCACAACAATTCAGCCCAAAATGTCTGTTGCTAAACAAGAACAGTCGTTAAATGAGTTTTGCCCTATTTTACGACCTTTCTTGCCAGAGTTGTTAAGTGAATCATTGCAGTTAAGTTAGTAACATGGTTGTTAAGTGAATCTGACTTTCTCATTGACTTTGCTTGTCAGAAGGTTGCAAAAGGTGATCACATGACCCCAGGACACTGCAACCGTCATAAATACAAGACAGTTGCTATGCAGCCAAATTTTGATCATGTGACCATGGGGCTACTGCAGCGTTTATAAGTGTAAAAAATGGTCATAACTTAAGTCACCTGTTTCAGTACCTTTGTAACTTTGAATTGTCACTAAATGAATGGTTGTAAGTCAAGGACTATCTCTTGCTATATTTTCATATTTTTATGCTGGAATATATTCTGTGCTTGTAGCTTTTTGCTTTCATAGATTCTTACATTGTTTTGTAACTCTATGCAAAAAGCATCTCAAAGAAGTTGAATTAAAAAGGTTATCAAAATATATACAGCAATAAGGAAGGGGGATGGGAGAAGAAAAACAAAAGCAGGAATAAAAACATTAATCCAACATTTACACAGAAAACAGCCAGATGGCCAAATAGGTTGTTCACAGAAACCTCATGAATTTGGCGTAATGTGGGGGGGGGGGGCAGAGGAAAATAATTTCAAAATATTGGCACCTCTGCAGAAGAAGCCCACCAGGACACAATGAAAGATTATTTAAAGAATTTATATTGTTGTCCAACCTGAACAATGCAACTTGCGGCAGCTTATAAGAAAAAAGCAATCCAAGATAAAACAACAATAAATAATAATCAGTAAGTGAAATTGCTATTCAGGGTCCCATGTGATGGGCTCTCTCCTGCTAAGCCCCATGAACCATCTATATCTTTTAACAAAAAAAGGGCCATCCATTACAGTAGTCCCTGACATACAACCATAATTAAGCCTGGCAATTATGATCATAAGTTGTGATGGTTGTAAAATGGTCACAAAGTGACCAGATCCGTTTTTACAACCTTTGTTGCAGCAGTCATTAAGCAAATGTGGTCGCAAAGTGAACACTGCAGACGTTAACCAAACTTATTTTTTTGTTATGGGCCAGTTTTTGCCAGAAAACATAAATAAATGCTGATTTCCAGCAAAAATGTTGTAAGTTGCAATCATGTAACTCTGGGGCACTTCAAATGGCTATAAATACAGGCCGGTAGCCAAGTGCTCAAAATGAGGTCATGTGACCATGGTGGTGGGCAACATTTGGAACTTCAAAATTGGGTTGGGAGTCTCTTACGGTTGCTAAGCGACTGATCCTACATCAATCCCTCACTGATTGTGACTGATCTTGAAAAAAGCTAAGAAGGCCACAGAATCAAGAAACATTCTAGAATATGGCAATAGAAAACAATTTCCATTATTTCGTCCCCCAAGAAACTTAGGCAAACGTGACGTGACATGGATTTGAGAGAGTTTTTATATTCAATGGGTGGCTTAATTTACCATACAGTATTTCTATACTTGAGGAGGTCATCCGAGTTGCAAAACTGGATAAAAAGGAACCAGTCCACTCCCAGCACTTTTCTTTCATTTTGGCTTCCTCCCTTCTACTGGACATGTGGAGAGCCACAGAGGATCCAATGTAGGAAGCATCACCCATAGCATTCAAATATCCTCAGTTAAAAAACGGCCAGGAAGTGGGCCAGAGAAGATTCTTGCCTCACTCTCTAGACATTCATTGCCTCTACTCAGGCAGATCTCAGACCTATGATTTAAGTCCATGACTAGATCCTTCTCCACTGCAATTCTGGACCAGTGCTGTCCAACCAATGTAGCCATTGTTTAATTGAATGGTCAAACCTTTTTGACAGAGCCAAGTTAGAAGTCCTAGGGTAGAAGTATGACTAGTTCTTACAATGTGAAGAGATATAAGCACAAGGAATCCGATGGGAGAAATATCTTTTGTCTGTTTTTATTAGTGATCTCCTGCTCCAAGCAGTGGGCAGTGATGTGGCCAAACTGTGAAGACATGTCAAGTGTGACATGAAAATGATGTACATATAGAGCAGTGTTTCTCAACCTTGACAATTTTAAGGCATGTGGACTTCAACTCCCAGAATTCCACAGCCAGCAATGCTGGCTGTGGAATTCTGGGAGTTGAAGTCCACATGCCTTAAAATTGTCAAGGTTGAGAATCACTGATATAGAGGTTGTCCTCGACTTATGTCTGTTTGAAGTTATGATAGACCCCCCCACACACACACTCAAAAGGGGGTATGTCTCATGACCTTTGAAGTTCCAGTGGCTGGGCTCCCCCTTGGGGTCATGTGATCACATTTTGGTCACTTCGAAACTGCCCACATTTATGCCATTTGCATTGTCCTGCGGTCACATGACCATGATTTACAACAGTTTTTGCCGGAAACTGGTGTTTATTTCCAATTGCCTACAAAAAACACCCATTGCAGACAATAGTTTTGCTTAATGACCACTGCAAAAAAGATTGCACAATTGGGCACAGTCACGTGATGATTTACTTAATGACCAGTATAACTTAACAACTGTAATTCTGGGCTCAGCTATAGTCATAAGTTGGGGACTACCTGTACATCCATAGATTAGATGGTGTCTAATCTAGTAGCAGCTGGCTAGGAAAGGGATTTTGGGGAAGTTGTTAAAAATTTTTTAATGACCCATCAATAATATATAGATCAAACTATTGTGAAAAATACAAATTTCAAAATACAGGTCTTTATAAAAGTGGCCAAACTAAAATGCCAATATGGTTACGGTACTTCTCGAATTATGAGCACAATTGAGCCCAGTTTTTTTGTTGCTAAGCAAGGCAGTTGTTAAGTGAGTTGTGACTCATTTTATGACTTTTTTGTCACAGTTGTTAAGCAAACTACTGCAGTTGTTAAGTGAATCATATGGTTGTTAAGCGAATCTGGCTTCTCCCAATGATTTTGCTTGTTGGAATCCGGCTGGGAAAGTTAGAAATGGTGATCACATGACCCTGGGACAATGCATCTGTCATAAATACATGCCAGTTGCCAAGCACTCAAACTTTGATCATGTGACCATAGGTGGTGAAAAGGTCATGTGAAAAATGGTCATAAACCACTTCTTTCATTATATGAATGGTTGCAAATCAAAAGCTGCCTATATTGTCTTTATAAACAAATTATGTGAGTATGCTTGGAACCTAGTGCATGGATCTGGTTACTGTATTTTGAAAAAGATATTGTTGAGTTTGATAAGTTACAGTGGTTAGCATTTCCTAGCTTAAAAAAAAAGAAAATAATGGGGAATGTAATTGAGCTCTGAACAATAATTCCTTGTAAGAAGTGGGTACAGAAAAGTTATTTTCACCTTTGATGAACAGTGAGACATTAGGGAAGGAATAACAATGAGACCTTCATTCAGAATTTAATTATTACCTGAAATTCCTAACTGCAAGAAAGCCATCAACCCTACTACGTTTGAAAGGCAATTGAAGAAAAACTGATACTAACTCTGTCGGTGGCTACTAATCCTGATGGCTACGTATCACTTCCAGCAACGTAGCTGAGCAGAAATGTGAGAATGACACTGTGCTCTTGATCTTAGTCATGAATTCCCAGATGTATCTGGCTGGCCATCATGACATGGGCTGCTAGAATAGATCGTTCTGACTTTGCCAATAAGGGAGATGTAATTCAGGTCAGCTAGGGTGGGCATGTTCCTAGTCCCTTCCCCTAAATAATGCCATTTGATTGGAGTTAGGAAGCGTGCCATTTTTGCGGTCATCCTTGCCCTATCGACTACTTTGTCCCGTGAAGTTTAATAAGCTCTATCCCCATATTTATTTTATTTAGTTGTAAAATGTAAGTCATCCATCTTGCCACATGGTAAAACATGGAAGTCCTGGTTTTACCTCCAGGTGCTGGGATTAGATGAAGTGACTGCACATATCACAAGTCTTATTTGGTGCCAGGTTTTTGTTGTTTTTAATGTGTTTGGATTTTATAATATGGTTTTTGTGCTTTTAACTCTTGATCGGGAGCCGCCCAGAGTTGGTTATAAGATGGGTGGCTATATAAATGCTTTATATAAATAAGTAAAATAAATTAAGTTTGCATTAATTCAGACTAATGGATTTTTCACCCGTTTCCTTTGTGGCACACCTGGAATCTCACCCATTTGAACAGTTGGAAAGATGAGGAAGTACACACTAGTAGGGCAGGGAAGGATAACAAATAAGCAGGATAACAAATAAGCAGGACAGAGGAAAACCAGTTGTTTCCTCATCCCCCAATTTATCAGTGGATTTTTAAACCTCAGAAGGGAGCATTCCAGCAACCACAATTTTGGCCCAGCTCCATCTTTACTCTGCTGCACCAGTCAATAATCTAGAAGCTAGAATTGGCCAGTTATTTCTTTCTCCCACATAGACAGCTTTACTCTGCACACCTACCCTGCAAGTAGTAGGCCAGGCAGCCCTCATCTCGGAGCTTCTGCAAGAGTGTGAGCAGCACTGATTCTTCTTCCTCCTGGTTGTCCGGCTGAGGGAGCTGGATTGTCCCCTCATCATACAGCAAAACCATGTTCTCACAGAGCCCCTGAGGGGGCTCAGGCAGCAAGGACCGGACTGCCAGGCTCCCCTTCCGAAGGCGGCGCAGAAGTAGTCCTGGGAGGGCTACGCTCAGGGCCCGCTCCACATGGGATGAGTCGTATAGGTCTCGGCTGCGGCAATCAAGGATATGCAAGCACGGAGAAGGAGAGGCCAGCTCGGCCTGCAGCCACAGCGTGGACTTGCCCAGGTCTTCCATAAGGCTGTAAGCCACGGTTTAGGTGGCCAGAATTGTCTTGATCCAAAGCCTTGGATCAACCTCGGCAGAATTTCTGGGTAGTGTCTGAATTTTTCCAGTCACAACAATGCATCAAGAGGAGGAGTTGTGCTTGCCACTTAACTTGTTGTCCCTCTTCCAGTGCTTGAAAAGTGTGTGTGTGTGTGTGTGTGTGTGTGAGAGAGAGAGAGAGAGGGGGGGGGGCAAACAAGCAGGGGATGGTTCTGCCAGAAGGCAGGACAATGCACTAGAAGTTCCCAAGTTCTTGCTCCAGAGGAATGTCTACATTGTGCTGCAAATATAGATGGTCTTGTCCCCCATCCAGTTTTTGCTAGAAAAGCAAGGAAGGAGCATCCCAGAACATGACATTGTGAGCAGAAGTCATCTTTTGTTCTATTGGCAGGAAAGAGAAGGAGCTGCAGCCTTTCCAAACAAAGATGAGGGCATCAAACAAGCCTGGGATTTCCTGGAGAAGGCCTGGAAAAGAAAAAAGTCTGATGAAGGAATTGCCCCAAACAATTAGCTGTATTCAGAGGCTGCTCTGCTTTGCTCTCAGTATCCCCGGTTAGCGTGGCTTAGCAAAGATCGGCCACTATAGAGGCTACCGGATGAAACTTCATCTCCGTAAATCCAGAGTGTTTATCTTGTTTATCTGAAATAACCTTTGTGGTGTTGCTCTTTTGAGTTACCGCCTCAGCTTGGCAGGCTGAGCAGAGCCACTACATTTATGGCCAGCCTGAAGAAGTTCTTCCTTTGGTGTTTCCAAAGCTATCCAACTCCCCTGGAGAGGATGTGCTGGAGCAGAAGCCAAGTGGCTCTATAGTAAGGAAGCATCCACATAAGCCTGCGGGGAGTGAAAAATGAAGAAGGGACCACCACAGGCAGTGAGACAGAGCAAGGGAGCAGTGAGGGATGCCTCAGGACTCCAGAGAACAGGATGTTGCTACGGTGGCTTTGAAAGCCATCCCTGGACAAACCTGCAGCGGAAAAGCAAAGGGGCAGAGGGGGAGTGGGGAGCAAGAGGGAGAGCAAGAGAGCAAGCAGCTGGGTAAGGGAAATACGGGAAGTGCGTGTTCCCTTCCTGGCACCTTGCTGTCCCTCTCCATCCTGGCCAGATACTGACAAGAGACTTCCTGGCAACCAAAGGGAAGACAGCTGCGATTGCCAAGAACTGGAGGGAAGCAGGAAGAGAGAGAGAGAGCAGCCCCTCCAAGGCCGTTTCATTCATAGGGGAAGAGGTGGCCAGCCTCAACCTGCCAGTCAGAAACTTCTTCGATCCACAGGGAGTGGTGGTGGTGGGGCACTGACTGAGGCTATATCAAGGGAACCAGGAAAAGGAGTTTGCTGAGTGCCCTGGCTCAGTGACAGAACATCTGAGCTGCATTCAAAAGGTCCCATGTGTAACCTCTGGAATATCAAGTAAAACTATCTAAAATGAGAGGATATATAATTGAGTTATATGGACCAGAATCTGACTTGTTGACTGCTGTCCCAGAAGATTAACCTATTAATGGAGTTCCCATAACTCACTGATCCATGAACAAATTGGCGGGGGGGAGGGGAAGGAGGCAGGATCTGCACAGCACACTTGCTAAAAATGAGCAAGCTTAGAATTAATCAGAAGGTTTCACATACTTTCCTTGCACTGATGAAGCATGTTTGTGACCACAGCCAGTATACCGGTAAAATACAACTTTGCACAACTCTATGCCACTTTTTCAGGAACATCCACTGGAAACTCAATATATTCAGTACAATATATTCAGGAGCAATCCCGCCAGCAAAGCAGAACATTGAAATAACTCCCTCTGTCATCTCTCCCCTCCTCACACTAAAAGTTGTACCCCTGGGGAGGCAGAACAGGAGAGGCCAGGATTTGTTTTACTGTGATGGCTGCTGGTGAGCCAGTATTAGGATCACTTGTATCATGATTTGTGTTCTAAGTAACAGATTACAGCCTTGCACAAAGTTTTGAGGAGTTGAAAGTGTGCAAATTAACGCCAAGGACTGACACCTCCCAGGAAATGGGCCAACCTCCCAACTTAAAAGTTGTAAAGGGAAAGCGTGGCATTTGCTTATACACGTGATGTATCCATGAAAACTGTTTAACTGTTGGTATATTTTATGGGCAATCCTCTATATCCAGTTGCAAATCTATGGACAAGCAGTAGCACTTAAGAAGATTTAATTACACATTTCATAATCCTTAAGTCACAATATTGGGTAACCAACCAATCAGCAACCTGTTTTATTCCTATGCTTTCAGGAGGAAAGTTTTTTTTATAACATAAACACTGACATTAGGTGTCAACAGTTGCAATTCAAGCTTTCTGCTAAAGATTGCCAGATCTGGTTAAGCTGAACAAGCTATAGCTACATAGACTGAAATCTCCATTTATACCTAAAGGAAAATTGTCAATGACTCCAACACATGCTGAGTCTATTTAATGTATGACAAATCTTGGTTTTAGTAAAGCAAATGATGTTTAGACAAGTAAGCCTAAGAGCTGGGAACATGAAGGGAATAAGAGAGGAAGGTATGTAGGCTGATTAATGACTAGACAGCTCTCCTGAACTCTATGATTCAACTCTATTTTTGCCTTAGCCAGTGGAACAATACAGAATAGAAACAGGTTGAATTCATGCATGATATTGCTTTGTGTTTGGCTTGGTTTTGATTTAAGCATAATTTATTAAATCATAGTTAAGTAGGCCATGGCTTGCTACATTCCAGGAGCCAATGTTATACAATATAGGTGCTTATTCTGTTACCTTTATGCTGTGAATATGAATAGGCTAATTAAGCAGAGTTTATTCCTACTTTTGGGGGGTTTAGGAAGCAGAATTCAGAATTTATTTTCAAATGGGGTGCTCTCTGTTTTAGAAAGTTAACTTGATTTACCCAGGAGAATTTGAAAGCAATGGCCATTTATCAGTTTGGTAGAGCTTTTAATTTATCAAGTGTTTTATTGCCCTATGAAGTGGCTTATGTTGTCAGGTTCACAGAACTCAAACTGTCCAGCTCCCCATAAGCCATGCAGTTATCCCACAGCAAAATGAAACATAAGCTTGGATTTCTATTGCTGATTTTTTCCATGTGCCTTAGAACTGAGAAGCCATTAAAGATGACAAAGTGGAGACCTTCTCCTGGGCCAGTCCCTGTGGAGAATAAACTGGAAAACTTTCTTGAGGACTGTTCCCGCATATTAACTACAGGGAAAATTAGGATACGTTTCTTTCATGCCTGCAAGCTCCCCCACTCTTCCTCTTTCTAGTTGCCGGAAGCCTCCAGCATTAAAAGTGATAGCAAGACTAGTTGTCATAATTCATTGTTACCATTTGGGGACAAAGGCACTTTCTGAATGGCCAGTACCAAGATCCAACAATATTTTTGCTCTCAGAATAAAATGACCAGTCAAGAAGTCTTGCTTTTCCCCAATAAATGCTTAGCTAGACTGAGGCCTCAGGCAAGCTCCCTTATTCAGGATCAGTCTCTTCCCCAATTAGACCTCTGGGAACAATGATGGCCCAATTGATAAAGGCTGTTGTAAGCTATTGCAATTCAAAGATCCTCAGGAAAACGAGCACACGCGTCCAGGCCAGGCTCTAAAATGACGTTTCTCTCCACCTCCTTGGCTCTGCTGCCCTGGATGCTTGTTTCGTGGAGAAGGCCGCCTGGCTCAAAGACTGACACGCCGCACGTGCTATAAATGAACCTTCGCCTTGGAGATGAACTCCACCACGCACGACGCCTCACGATCAGTGGGGAGGGAGAAGCTCCTCTGCGCGTGCCCAGAAACCATTACTACACTTCACGGGAACTATTTTTTTTTTCCAAGGAGGGGGGGCATACCTGGAATAAAACTTTGGTTATCTAAAAACAGGATCCCGCTGAAGAGCATCTGAAACGTGTGCAAGCGTTTCTCTTACCCGGTTTTCTTGCTTTGTTTTTCCCCAACGCCCTGCAGTCCGTTTCGTCGCGTTGGATGGTGGCAGCCGCAGATTACAAAACACGCCTGCACGCCAACTTCAGCCGTATAGACGCCATGGAAGCCGTTTTCTTCGGATCCCGCAGCAAGTGCCGGGTTTTCGGAAGAAGGTGAGCGAGAGAAACCAGAATCTCTGCAAGGATGATCCAGGGCAGCCAACCAACCTTGTGCAGCCGTGTGTGTGTGTGTGTGTGTTTTGCTAAGGTCGGCGATGCTGTTTGATCCAACCAGCGCGGCTGATTTCCTCTGAATCTCAACGATTACTCCACCCACCACTCCCAGCCCCGATTCAGTCCGTTTGCTTCCGTCACCAGGAAAAGAAGAAAATCGCTGGTGCTGCAGTCGCAGCAGCAGCAGCAGCGACCAAGTATTCGGTCGCCTCCATCTGCAGCGGGGGAGACAGCGAGAGGATGGACCCTCCAGCCAGCTGACTGCTGGCAACCTTGCTCGCTTGCTACGGCTAACTTCTATCGGTATAGCTCTAACTTTGCAACGGCGGGAGCGACGTTTTATTTTGTTAAGATCCCCGAGAAAGAGCGCGGAGGAGGAAAGAAGGGGCGATGGAGCAAGTGGAAGGGGTTGCCGAGTTCCTCCCGGCGGCCACCCACCCACTCCTTGCTCGAAGAACCTCGAGCCAAGGTGCTCGACGTCGCCGCTGCTGACTCTGCCTCCTCGGATGCTTGGCGGCTGCCAGTCCCCACCCCAGCTGCACGTGGTGGCTGTGTACAGCCGGGAGCCCCGCCCAGCAGGCTCCTGGTTGGACGGGGCTTCCGCGGGAGGCGGAGCGTTTCCGTGCGTGCGCGCGCGCCCGGAGGGGAATCGGGGGCTTTCTGGAGCTCGGAAGAGTTTTTCGAGGCGGTGCCTTTGGCTGGCGGGGTTGGAGGGGGGAGGGAGGAGGGGGGGGGACCTTCGCCGGCCGCTTCAGCTTGAGATCATTGAGCGGTTCATAGACGACAGTGGTTCTTCGCCCCACATCACAGCCAGGTCACCGAGGGCGGCGCCCGAATGGCTTAATTCAGAAAAAA